TTCCAAGTGACTTTCGAGTGAGTACAAAGTTTCTGGGATTATCATATTTTGCTAACTTTCAACAGAATGGCTACCCGTACGCCGTATATGGCACTACACTTCGTTGGCCAACAACAGACACTGCGGCCGCTACAAGTCAAAATTATCAAGCAGAATCACAATTGGAAGCCAATTTACGGAATTTCAGAACTCAGATCATGACTTTGTTCGCAAATTGGCAAGTATGTGTTCACAAAAACCTTGATTTGGAAAAATATCAACCTATTCATCGTCAAACGACCTTTACTAATATTCGTCTTTAGCCCTATAACCATTTCAGCAATAAAGGATCAGGCAGTTCTGGTTTCGGCAACATTGGTAAATACAAATGGGTTATTTAAATTCGCATGGAACGATGAACTAACTTGTCAAAAGAATCTATTCACGATACCGTGCACACATTGACAGGAGGCCTCGTCTATTCTGGTCACATGTTAGTATTATCCGCATATCACTTTATTCTCATAGTCCTATCCTGACTATCCCTGTCTTCGTGGCGTTAAATAAGACTTTACTAGAAATACTAACATGAATTTCAACGCAGGTCCGTCGTTCCAGTAGCTGCTTACGATCCAATCTTCTGGTTCCACCACGCAAACATCGATAGACTTCTCGCCCTTTGGCAAGCTGTCTACCCAGATACTTATGTCGAAACAGCACGACAAGGAGCAGCCACATGGACTGTTACGCGAGGTTCTTATCAAGACCAAAACTCTCGTAAGTCTCTTTTCACAATTTCTCACAGAAGTATTCACATACTAATACAACAAAGCTTTAACTCCATTCCACAAAGACACAAACGGCAAGTTCTTCTCGTCAGCCGACGTTCGCAATATCGAAACTTTCGGGTATTCCTACCCCGAAATCATCAATCATCCCGACAACACCACTCTCCAACAAAACATCGTCGCCTTGTACGCCGGCTCCCCAGCTTTCAAAAAGCGTCAAGCAACCACTACCTCACTTCCCCGCGACTGGATCGTCAAGATCGATTTACCATGGACCGCCCTCAACGGCACCTACAGCGTAGGGGTATTCCTCGGGAAAAGCCAAGCCTCCCCTCCATCCTGGGCAAAAGATCCCTCTTTCGTCGGAATGCACGCTACACTCGGAACCCAAAGCATGACACCCAATGATGTAGTTGCTTCAAGTAACGTGCATCTAACCGATGCCCTTCTCAAGAAACATGACGAGGGTACTCTGGCGGATTTGAATGAAAATACGATTGTTAATTACTTGACTGCGAATCTAGAATGGAAGGCTCAGAAGGGAGGAGAGGAAATTGATATTAGTACATTACAAGGTGCGGTTGTGAAGGTGGAATCGGTCGAGGTTGCGGCTCCGGCGGATTTGGGTACTTTTGCGAATTTTAAGTGGGTGGGTGAGTTTAAGACGTACCCAGGGGTTTTTGATAATTCTCGAAAATGATGAAGTTGGGTGTTAGAATGATCGCTAGGGACTTTACTTTTGGATGGTTTGCTTCTCTGATTTTGTATTATATAATTAACGGCTGGCTGCTTTGCGTTTGATATTTATTGGTTTGTCGTATATATCATGCAAACTTAGGGGAAAAGTTTCAATATAAATAATGAGACCGAATTGAGCAAAATTGATAGTTATATCTTCTTCTATAAGAGCTAGTAATCTCTAGAAATCCTAGAAACTTTCTTCTTGCCGGCAATATTGAAGGAAATTCTGAATGTGTTACATAACTGCCGGAGTGAGCAGGTCGAAATTTTAAGGGAGGTAGATTATTTGATATATATATCTTCGTCAGTTTCCTCATTTTAGCAGACAGCCTATGAGAAGTCTAGTAGCTATAGAAAGAATCCAATGGGGTAATACTTACAATTGCGGGACCGGCATCCGCTGACCTGGATGCTTGTAAAGCATTATAGTCACGTTTTTGGTATGGAAGTAAGATTATTATTTTAGATGGTCATGATTGTGAGTATGTTCTCAATGATTTTAAATAAAGAAACATTATGTTTTGTAAAGTGAAATGTGGTTTTCATCTAGTCGACCCTTCATGATAGCGTTTACTAGCTTCCGTTCTATATATATCCTTTCTACACGGGAGATGGGAGTAGTTACTCTGTAATTGAAGGCAAGGATCCGATGTAATCGATTAGGCAAAGCATGAGAATGGGATCAGAATGGATGAAGATCAGAATCCTAAAACATCGGATTGATATATGATAAATTAGAACTTTGAGATTATATCTGAAGAAATACATAAAATATAGATACTCTCAATCTTTTGAACCTCTAACAGCAATATCCAATCACTCGAAGTCATGTATTCTTCCTGACGTAGCTAGATATCACTTATATATAGTGTTTTAAGTAGTACGCGGTAGTACTACGGTGGCTGTTATCAAGGCCATACTAGAGTTCAATATCACTTACAGTCCTAGGAGTTATCCGAAAGGGGTTAATATTGATGATAATTTTGAATATTGGAATTTGAATCGTTTGAAGGCATTCTAACACTTTCCAGCCGTTGGATCTATTCCAATGCCGAACAGAGTTGAAATACCTTCAAACTATACAAATTCCAGTACTCCAGAATATCCCCAGTGATATTCGACATCACAGAAATTTTCAATACTCCCAGTGACATAAAATCTAATAACAATTATTGGAATGTCTTTAAAATTCTCGATGCGTATCACTAAAGTATGGGTATTTCAGGAACAGAAAATACTAATTGCAACACTAGTTATATATCTAGGAGCTAAAGTATTTGAGAGATTAACTTATAAGATCTAGCAAAATTGGTCTCTCCATATCCCATGAATATAGAGAGAAAGACATGAGCGTTGAATCTTTATGCATATAGCAAACATCATTAGATATTCTGAATCTAGATGATGAAAATCGATTGGATTTCCTTCCACTACGTGTCATCCCGAAAGCTACTCGCTCGCGTCTCAAATCTTTGGAATAGCTCCAAAAAATAGTATAGTAACAAGTCTTACAAAGCAATTAAGCTACTGGTATGAGACTTACAGTTTTAAAGAGTATAACGGAATACAACGAGAAATAAGAGAAGACTAAATATATAATTTTGACAAACTTCAATCAGCGCATATACTACAACTTCGAAATTCAATCCTGCTTCAATATTACTATATAACTTGAAATTCTAGATTATTAGATCTTATATATTATGAATAGTATAGAGTAATATAGATTACATAAAATTCAAGCCAAAGTAGATGGTAGTTCGAGTTATGGGATACTATTTAAATTGTATAAAAGTCTAAATCTTAGATTCACTCCGCCCCTTATACACAATTAGTCATTATCTAAACTTGGTGATTCTCATATTCAGCTAGTTTCAATCAGTTAGATAGTGAGATTGAGAATCTGAGAAGATAAGTTCTATTATATCGAAATTTCTTAGCATTCTGTATCAGGGTTAGTCTCCCGGAGACTGTCGGAAGATACTTTCCTTCACTAGTTGTAGGCGAGGCCAAGAGGGGGAAACTTGAAGACACTTACACTAGTAGTCACCAACTCAATTTCATGTACAAGGACATCAAATAATGCTATATCGTGATAGATTCAGTAAGTATATTGAAAAAGATATGAGTTTATGCGGAGTGGAAAATAAGTCTTCTAAATGATCCTATCTTCCAAGATAAATTGGAGAGTGAATATGGAAAACAGTATTGTCTTTCTAGCTTATTGATAACCGATGATGTTCTGACACTTTGTGTCTTCAATCATGGATGCAACAACTATCTTGCAGTGATACATTGCTCAAGAAACATGAAAATGAATACTATTTAACAAGCCAAAAAAGAACAACTGAGAGGCATTAGACTTCAAGTTGAAATTTTCTATTAAAGCTGTATCATTGAAACTTTTGAGATGTAAACACTTACGGCAATGCCACCGTGGCTATAGCCGCGGTTGCATCGGAAACTTCTGACGAGAGAGTTTTTCAATGCACGGTGTTTGAATAGTAGCCAGAATGTAATTTCAGTTTCGATCTACCAGGATGACATTGTGAAACGATGAACCTCGAATTCAAAGACAATGCAACGAGTAGCTCGAGTCTATAAGTTCCTCTTAGCAAATGTAACTGGACCTTTCAAGGAAGAATTTGTTACCGCCGGTGATCACCTTCTATGATCAGCTAGGCTGGGAATGTTCCTCAATACCCATTAATACAAAAGGTCCATTGAATCCCAACATAAATCATAGTCAAGATACACCTGGACAATATTCAAACTTTGAATATGACCAATCATATTAAAATAGCGAAAGAGGAGATCTTTCAAAAATTCAAACACATATGTCTTGTCGGAAAATCCCAATTCAGTTCTATTCGCGTCGACGTTTCACACATGATAGTGACAACCTAAAGGCGATAGCTGGTTTTGCTTAATGGATTAAAGAAAAGACGGAATATTCTTCATTGCGAGCCTGAGGAAGTTGGATGCCCATGTTAGTACTTTTCTGTTACACTGAGATACATGTTCTCAACGGCGAGGATTTAGAGCCTCAACATGATCCTCGGCATCAGTGAAAAATAGTCAGGAAAGGTTTTGGAGGGTAGATGAGTTGACCCAATCTCCACTAGCGGTGTAGCCGGTTATGAATACTTCTTTTATATTATCCAGGCCGGCGCAGTTCAAAGCCTACAACTCGTGATCTACCACAAGGCTTTGCACTGATCTTGAGAAGAATACAATTGATATGTATACCAGGATGGGTGTTTTGAGATCAGCTACAACTGCTGCTGATGCGTATGAGCTTGGGGCACAAGACATGATATTATAAAGAGTAATGCATTCACTAGAACTGCAGTTCCACCTTCTTGATAAGCTTAGCTTAGTCTATAGCATGCTACCTACTCACTTTGGTTCTGTGTTACCTTCATCTTTCCTTTTTATTTGCTCCCCTCCAAAACTGCCAAAAATAAAAACGGCAAAAACAATTGACAAAAGGGGCGTTGCCCGGGATTGAACCGGGGACCTCTTACATGGATAATCAATCAAAGACGACTAATTTATCCCTAAGCAAGAATTATACCACTAAACCACAACACCGAACTGCTTGTTTGTTGAAGCACACCGTGATAGAGTGGAATATAATGCGTTGTACTCGTATTGTGTCTTTCTTTGACTCCATTCTTGCGTGTCAGATTTTTCCTAGTGGTGGGGTGGTCGCTTGTGGATCAGGTGGGGTCGGCATAAGCTTATGCATGTTCTGGCCGTTCTGGCTTGTCTTCGGGTAAACAGCGGTTGTTCCTCATCTCATCCTTTCCCAATCTGTAGTTGCAACTTACAACTTACAACATCAAACATCATATCTTGATACATACAATCACCACTATATTCAACTCAACAAACTACGCTAGTACATCATGATTAAAGCGCAAGGGTATAGCATTCGACATGCTTCACAATTGGACTGTAGATCATTTGCAAATGTCGCCGCCAGTGCGGAGTATGCATTCAGCCTATACATTCGTCCCACTCTGCCTCCAAAGTTGGGGTGATTTATTCATCATTAAATGGGCAAATTCGCAGAGTTGCGTCTCAATGGACAAAACTTTGTGTTTTTAAAAGTATAAGGATGCAGTGGTACTACCTTACAGAAGCACTTCATGGCTCCTGTGGTTGCCCACCAATACTTCATCATGTCGATCCATTTCAGTTTATTTCTCATTGTTGCATGCTTGGTGCAGGGATTTTTCGCTCTGACGGTTGGCAATATTCAGAATGCACGCATTCACGCGTACAAAAGAGACGTTCTACAAGACGTGGTCAGTCATTTGCAGTGGAGACTTCCAAAAGAAGAATTTTAATCCGTGATATGTCCACAGGTGTCGTGGGATGAACATTCCATTCTTGTTCGTGGTGAACGTATTATGATCTATTCTGGTGAAGTCCATCCATTCCGTCTTCCGTCTCCAGGATTATGGCTCGACGTCTTCCAAAAAATCAAGGCAATGGGCTTCAGTGGTGTATCTTTCTACACGTACTGGGGCCTACTTGAAGGAAGCCCTGGAGAAATGGTTATGAATGGGGTATTCAGTCTCGATGAATTTTTCAATGCTGCAACGGAAGCTGGAATCTACTTAATCGCTCGTCCTGGTCCATATATCAATGCCGAAACAGCAGCTGGAGGAATCCCCGGCTGGGTGCTTAAGATAAAAGGAGTCATCAGATCCACGGATCAGGATTATCTTGATTCGACTCAGAACTATGCTTCTACAATTGGCAAAATCATAGCCAGAGCACAAATCACAAATGGTGGTCCTGTGATCATGGTCCAACCTGAAAATGAATACGCATCGTGGCCAGGTGTTACTAATTTTCCAAGTCAAATGAATAAAGAGTACATGGCATTCGTGGAGCAACAGCTTCTTGATGCAGGAATCGTTGTACCGTTTATAGTCAATGATAATTTGAATATAGGTAATTTTGCGCCGGGCAGTGGCCTTGCAGAAGTGGATCTTTATGGAATTGATGCTTATCCTATGCGTTATGACTGTGGTGATCCATATATTTGGCCGACTTATAGATTTCCCAAGACTTGGGAGATGAGTCATGCAAATTATAGTCCATCGACACCTTTTGCAATTGCCGAATTCCAGGGTGGGGGTGGAGACGGGTGGTAAGTTTGCAAAAGAAAATTGATGCACTCACTGCTGATTTTATATACAGGGGTGGTGTTGGAGAAGATCGATGCGCCATCCTTACCAACAATGATGCGATCAAGGTCCAGTTCAAAAACACTTACAGCTTTGCGGTGGCAATCTTCAATGTCTACATGGTAAGATCCATAGCTTGTTCTCAACACCTGTGCCTTGATTACTAACGTTGTGAAAGATTTATGGCGGTACTAACTGGGGTAACCTTGGCTATCATGGAGGATACACATCCTATGATTATGGAGCATCAATTACCGAAGATCGTCAAATCTGGCGTGAGAAGTATAGTGAAATGAAACTCGAAGCCAACTTCTTGAAAGCATCCGCAGCTTACTTAACTACTACACCCGGACATGGTGCGAATGGATCTTATGGAGTTCCAGCTGAAATTGCTGTAACTCCATTATTTGGTGCCATTAATGATACGAATGGCACAAGGACCAACTTTTACGTTGTCCGGCATGCGGATTTCACTTCATTCGCAAGAACATTGTATAATTTTACTGTCACTACATCTCGTGGCAACATTACGATACCTCAACTTGGTGGATCATTAGTAATGAATGGTCGAGATTCAAAGATTCATGTTACAGACTACGATATCGGAGGACTCCATATGATCTATTCATCAGCGGAGATTTTTAGTTGGGCTAAGAGTATTGATTCAGGACGAGTTTTGGTTCTTTATGGTGGGAATGGGGAGAACAACGAGGCTGCTTTTCCGGCTTCATTTGGTGTTCCTGAAGTTATTGAAGGACATGGAGTTGATATTCAAAGACTCAGTGGATCATGGGTGCTTCACTGGATGGTGGAGCCAGAAAGACGAGTTGTCCAAATCGGAAAGCTAAGGATTTACCTTCTGTGGCGGAATGAAGCATACAATTACTGGTCTTTGGAAATAGAAGCGCCTCAACCAGTTGGAAACCATACATCTCCATCGAAATCATTTGTTATCATCAATGGTGGTTATCTCTTACGAACAGCCGGTATTGAAGGAAAACTACTTAAACTCACTGGTGATATCAACGCCACGGCTAACTTCGAAGTCATTTCAACACCTACCGAAGTAACTTCACTTTTCTTCAATGGCAAACTACTTCACACAAAGTCAAGGAATGGAAATCTTCTTGGCCAAGTATCATTCAGTCCCCCATCAATAACTCTCCCAAATTTCAAAACTCAACCATGGCACTACATCGATTCCCTCCCCGAACTCCAACCTACCTACAATGATTCCCAATGGACATCATTAGATCATACAACTACAAACAACACTCTCAATCTCACAACTCCCACTTCAATGTATGCCAGTGACTACGGTTACCACACAGGATCCCTCATTTACCGCGGCCACTTCCTCTCCACTGGCAACGAAGCCACATTTTTCATCAACACGACCGGCGGCGCCGGCTTCGCTCATTCAATTTGGCTCAATTCCACATTCCTAGGATCTTGGATCGGTAGTGGTGGAAACCAAACTTATGCTCAAACCTTGGCACTTCCATCTTCCCTCCAAGCTGGCAATGAATATGTGTTCACGGTACTAATAGACCACATGGGTCAAGACGAAGAAGCCCCCGGGACGGACGCTATAAAATTTCCCCGAGGCATCCTCAATTATTCGCTCTCTTCACATCCCCAAACCGACATCGTCTGGAAGATGACAGGAAACTTAGGCGGTGAGCGATACATCGATAAAACACGGGGACCACGAAATGAAGGGGCGATGTTTGCAGAGAGACATGGGTATCATTTACCGAACCCGCCGAGTGAGGAGTGGGGAGTGAAAAATCCGGTTGAGGATGGAGTGGAAAGTGCGGGAGTGGGCTTTTTCACTACGAAGTTTGAGTTGCATGTAACGGAGGGATGGGATGTCCCTATGGGGTTTGTGTTTAATGGGACGTCGGGTGAAGAAGGAAATGGAGGTAATTATAGAGTACAGCTTTTTGTCAACGGGTGGCAGTTTGGAAAATATGGTAGGTCTTCTCCTCTTCCCTATTTCCGTCTCCCTTTTCTTCCCCTGTCCATTCCCCTTCTCTCTATTAACTACCAAACTAACACATCGCCTCCCCAAAGTAAACAACTTAGGTCCCCAAACCAACTTTCCCATCCCGGAGGGTATTCTCAATCATCACGGAACAAACACCGTGGCCTTGACTCTTTGGTCCCTTGATAGTGAAGGGGCGAAAATTGGCGGGTTTGAGTTAGTTCCTAATGCGACGATTTGGAGTGGGTATCGTAAGCCGGCTTTGGTGGATGGAGAGACTTGGAGTGAGAGGGTGCGTGCGTATTAAGGGGAGAGAAGAAAGGGGAAAGATAAAGGAGTATGAGGGGAGGGATAGCGACGGTGTTGGGAAATGGTGCGGGTGTTGAGTGCGCATATTATCTTGTCAATCTTCTGAGGTCTCAGGAGTATAAATACTCGAAATGTAAATCTTAGCTCATCTTTCGAACTTGATATGTACAAATGTTCTCACAAATTGTACATTCACTTTCGCTTTTCATGGTATTAACTTCTCTCGAACATTGCACCATCATCGTATGAATGAATATCAGACCTTGAACCTTGATTATATTCACAATTCTCAATTTTTTCTCAAATATTGAGTACTAATCTCATCCACCACCCTCAAATATCCATATCAACCAACAAAAAATCCCACAACCCAACCACTCTACCGGCCCTTCCATAGAGATGATGAATTAGTATTAAAGAGCATATCACTATTCCCATAATGCAAGCATGTATATCTATCTAATAAAAGCATCAGTATTCTCACAGTCGAAAGATTATAGGGGATGATACACTATTTATGATTAGAATTAAAGAATGTAAGCTTGTAGGGATAAAATCGTAACTATAAATAAAGGTGACGGAGTAAGTAGTTGGATATTTCGATGTAGGAGAAATGATGTTGTCTCGAGAGAGAGAGGAGGAAGTTTGCGGCGAAGTGTTGAAGCAGTTTTTCGGTGGTTGTGTTGAGTTAGTTATGTGCAATGGATTTGCTGGAGTATGGTATATGGAGAAGGAAGGTAGATAGTAGTGATTGCAAGGAGATGTCTGACGGTCCCCACTTGTTACCATTTGAGATTTTACGCACAGAGATTTGGGTTTTAAATAAGTCATATCATGAAATTCTAAAATTCGATAGTTCTTGATCTTTTAACAATTACTCGAGACTACGTCAAACATATAAAATGATGTCAAATACATTTTTAAATTTTCATTCTCTCAACTAATCTCGACAAATTAATCCTCCCTTGCCCCTCCAAACGCAAGGTATTCCATCCCTCCTCTGGCCATACGCGAATGATCCAGGGGCGTACAGCTTGGCAAGTCAAAGAAACGCATGGGATATCAAATAATTCCCGACGAAGATCCCAATAGCA